TGACAGGTGATGAATTCATAGCAGGAGGGAGGGTGCAGCAAGCAGATGTTGGAGCACCGCCTTGAATCTTCAGCAATGACTCAGCGAATCAGTGTGAGAAAAGACATTTAGGCAACTTGGTCAAAAATAGATCCACCCCTGGGAGTTGAAAATCTTGTAGCTGGATCTCTACAGAGCTGCTTGCAGATCTGTGCAGCGGAGTGAGCAGGGCAGAGGCGCTTAGCCTGCAGCCTGTCTCCCTCCGGCGGAATGGAACGTTCTTTGGAACATCAGACGTGCGTGCCAAAGGGAACTGCATGAAATGCTGGTAGAAAATGGATTGTGGGGGCCGGCGCTGTGGCGGAGCAGGTAAAGCCACCGCCTGTAGTGCTGGCATCCCATGTGGGCACTGGTTCAAGAACCACCTGCTCCACTTCTGCTCCAGCTCTGATGCAGCTCTCTGCTATGACCTGGGAGAGCAGTAGAAGATGGCCCACGTCCTTGGGCCCCTGCACCCGCATGGGAGACCCAGAAGAAGCTCCTGGCTTCAGATGAGTACAGCTCTGGCCATTGGTGCCAACTGGGGAGTGAACCAGCAGATGGAAGACCTCTCTCTCCCTCCCTCCCTCTCTGCCTCTCCTTCTCTCTGAGTAACTGACTTTCAAAGAAAGGAAGAAAGAAAAAATGCACTGTGGCGTCCCAGCCCGGAGCTTGGGTCCCAGCACGCTGCCGCTGTCAGTCTCAGGATGTTTCTTCAAATACCTGTGCTCCAGGTGCCTCTCCTGTAAACGTGTGTGACGGTAGCGAAGACCAAGTCGCTCTGGGGCTGAGAATTCATACAAACTGCCGGAGGCTCTGGCTGGTGGGCGGCAATGGCAATGGGTGGTGGTTGTTGTTGGAGGCGTCACCCCACAGTGTGAGCTGGGCAGTGGATCCAGGGCCGGTAACATCACAGTCCTCCGATGCCCACGTCTTATGTATAAAAAGCAGCATTTATGTAGAACCCACACTATCCTCCCATCCCACGATTACATGTGTGATACCATGTCATGCTGTGGAAACAGTTGTTATACCATATCATTCATGGAGTGATAGCAAGAAACAATCTGTGTGTTCAGGGCAGGTGCAGTTTTTTCCTACATAATTGAAGATTAATGGAATCTGCAGACGAGAGGCCTCTGCTCACCGGTGTGTGAGGACTCAGGGTCTGAACCTCCTGTGCCCCCCGTGCCCCCCTCCCCGGGGCACCCCTGCGGGTTCAGTCCGGTGTGTGCTCAGGGCACGTGAGATCCGCTCTTTCGAATTCCAGTTACGTCATCGCTAACTCCAGTCTCTCTGCTGCACAGTCCCCAGAACTGACTCATCTTGCACTTGACAGTGCATCTCCCTTCCCCCACCCTGACCCCCAGTAACCACAGTTCTACTTTGTTCTTATGCATTTAACTTGTGGAAATTCCACCTGTAGGTGAGGTCATGCAAGGCTTCTCCATCTGTGTCTGGTTTATTTCACTTAGCATGATACCCTCCAGGTCCGTCCATGTTGTCACAAGTGGTGGGATTTCCTGTTTTTTTTTTTTTTTTTTTTTTTTTTTTTTTTTTTTAAGATTCATTTTATTATTTGAAAGGCAGCTAGAGACAGATCTTCCATCTACTGGTTCACTCCCCAAATGACCACAACAGCTGAGGCCGGGCCAGGCCAAAGCCAGGGCGTTACTTGGGTATCCCACATGGGTGCAGGGCCATCTTCTGCTGCTTTCCCAGGCACCTTAGCAGGGAGCTGGATTAGAAGTGGTGCGACTGAGACTCAAACCAGCACCCATATGAGAAGCCAGCATTGCAGGTGGCAACTTAACCCATTATTGTCGCAACACTGGCCTGGGATTTCCTTCTTTGTTAAGGCTGAAGAGAACTTCACTCTGTGTGTGTGTGTGTGTGTGTGTGTGTGTGTAACTGTCCACATCACACTTTCTTCATCCATCCATCCATTCAGGGACACTTAGGTTGTTCCCACACTGGTTAGTTTGAATAATTCTTTGCTGGAATGATAGTGCAGATACATAGGAGTGAAATCAAGACACTGATTTCCTTTTGTTGTAAAAAAATTGATTTTCATCTGCTTGAAAGGCAGAGTGTGAGTGAGTAAGAGAGAGAGAGATCCTATATTTGTTGGTTCACTTCCCAAATGACTGCAGCAGCCAGGGCTGGACCAGGCCAAAGCCAGGAGCCTGGAGCTCCATCCAGGTCTACCACATGGATGGCAGGGCCAAGCACTTTCGCCATCATCTGCTACTTCTCAGCATGCGTTGTCAGGAAGCTGGATTGGGAACAGAACAGCCGGGATTCAAACTGGCACTCTGAGGTGGGACACAGGCTTTCAAGTGGCAGCTTAACCCACTGTGTCACAATGCCCGGCCTCATTTCCTCTGGATTATGTACCCAGAATTGGGATTTCTGGATCGTACAGTTCTTTAAGGTAACTCCAGACTGATTTTTTTATAAATGGTATTAATTTACATTCCAGCCAACTGTGTACACCGGGCGAAGGATGTGTTCATTAGCCTGATTGTGTTCATCACTTCACAATGTGTATATATAGCAAGACGTCATATTTTATGCCATGTACCCAGTTTTTGTTTGTTGCTCAATAAAGCTGGGAACCAAACCAAGCACAGTCAACGATTTAAAGAAGATTTAGAACTCATCATCAAGCAGACATGTGAGGGCGTCGGTGTTGGGTGTGGACAAGGACGTATCGGGAGGCAGTGGAGTGTGCCTGCTGCTGCTGTTCAGGGAAAGAGATGGTGGGAGAGGAGGATCCTGGGAGAGGTCTGGGCTCATGGCCAAGGGCATCTGTGTCTAGGTAGAGCACAGGGCCTCTGTACGTTTCCCTCTGCTTCTTGGACGTGCTCCTGGCTGGGGTTGGAGTGATGGTGCCAGGGGGAGGCCAGCCCCTCCCCTCCCTGGAGGTTGAGCTGATGCTGTGTTCCCTCTTCTAGTCATGTGCTTTGCTGTGTTCTTGGAACCTGCCTGCTTGGACCACCTGTTCTCTCCAACCCCCAGCAGATCCATTTCCTCTGAAACATGACGATTCTTCAGCTGTGTGAGGATATTTTTATACCCCCCTTTCTTCAGATGTGTGTGTATTTATGAGCTTAACAACTTTCTGATATTCTCTGGGGTTCATAAAATAATATGCAGCTAACTACATTTTCCCGGATTCTCCCCTATCTAGAATGTTCTCACGTATGTGCTGAGTCTGGGATAGCAGCCATGCAAATGTGTCTACCATCTCTAGCACCCGCTGCCTGACTCTCCTCAGCCGAATCTCATGTTTGGAAGCACCATTTAGTGTCATCTGGCATTTGTGCAGCCAGCTGGTAACCAGTATTGGGCCGCTCATCCAGGCAGTGCTGTCCCTGGGAAGGGTGGTGACTAGCAGACACCGTAAAGAATGAGACTAGAAGTCAATCCAGTGAGAGACAGAGCTAGGAGAGAGACTGGTGGGTGTTTTGGTGGAGAGAGGTCAGGTATCAGAACCACAGAGTTCAGCAAGTGCTGAGTGTGTACATCAAGTCCCGGTCTAGGACAGGCATCCGTCCGGCATTAGACATACGCTGGGAACCAGGAACAGGACACCCAGAAAACGTTAATTTATGGTCAAGTCAGTAATCTTGGAAAACTGTATCAGGAACTTGAACGAATAGCTCCCACTGACCTTTCTTCGGAGAGCTGTGAGAGAAGAGAGAGGGAGGCTGGCATAGCTGGAGAGGGGGTGGGGTGCTGTGCGCTCAGATCACGGCACCTGCAGGCTGGAGAGGGGGTGGGGCGCTGGGCGCTCAGATCACGGCACCTGCAGGCTGGAGAGGGGGTGAGGCGCTGTGCGCTCAGATCACCGCACCTGCAGGCTGGAGAGGGGGTGGGGCGCTGTGCGCTCAGATCACGGCACCTGCAGGCTGGAGAGGGGGTGGGGCGCTGGGCGCTCAGATCACGGCACCTGCAGGCTGGAGAGGCGGGTGGGGCGCTGTGCGCTCAGATCACGGCACCTGCAGGCTGGAGAGGCGGGTGGGGCGCTGTGCGCTCAGCTCCACGGCACCTGCAGGCAGCACCGTGGGATCCCGGGGGCACTGTGGTCTGTCCCAGCCGCAATGTGCTTTCTCCATCTCTGCTTGTGCCTGTGGAGGTACTCTCATTCGGGCATGGGAACGACAGACGATAGGACACATTAAAAGTGAGCCAAAAGCAGAAGGCGAGTCCAGGGGCAGGCATGGAGCCGGACGCTGTGCTGCGCAACGTTTGAGCCAGCCAGAGTCAGGGAGGCTGCCGACTCGCACAGTTCAGTGTCTTGAAGATGAAGCACCGATCGTTTGCCCGGAGTTAGCTCTTCTTCATGCAGCACTGACTGGAAGTGGCTGGGGAAGGATATCGCTCTGCGACACCATGAACAGACTTGATAATGAAAGTCTTTACATTGCTGGCTTGATGGCAGTTTCCCCACGTTGGCTGCTGGCATCACTCTGATGCTCCAGCCTGGCAAAGCAAGCAACTCCAGAACCAAAACTTCCCAAGGACAAGGTCAGCTTTTCTCAGAACTGGCTTCCTCTAGAAGCGAATTTCTGCACACTGATCTCGTGTGTACCCAGTAATCTCCTTTGTGTGTTGTTGTTTAGCCTGGGTTGGTTTCTGCACTATACAATGTGAGTAGCGCATTGCTTGGTGCACTGGGGTCCTTGTGAGGATCATTCAGGGAAGCGTGGTAGCAGGCGTGCTCGGTGTCCGTCATGGAGTCCGTGGGCAATGCCTGCCACTGATGCTGGACAGCAGCAGCCCAGGAACCCAGCACGCAGCAGCTGCACCACAAGGCGGACTGGGCCTGGGCACGGCAGATGGGACGTGCTCTGTGTGCTCCAGGGTGCACACTCACTGCACACTCACTCAGCTTGGGGCTGAGTGATTCAGCTTGGAGCTAAGATTCCCCGTGCGGGAGGGGGCCTGAGACTCACTGTTCAATTTATCTCTCCCAGGAATAACGCTCTATAGCCACCCGTACGGAGGCGCCTTGCTGAACGAGGACAAGATGTGAGTGGGAGGAGTGTGGGAGGGGCCCCGGCTGTGGGAGGAAATGCATGGGTAACTTAGGGGCGGTTCCCGAAGGTGGTCCCCGTTGCCATCTCCCTGAGCAGTGCTGCAGCACTAGTGTACGGGCGCTGCTTTGGTGATGGGGGCGGGGAGGGGGTGCAGTCGCTGAGGTTGCGATGAATGGCTGTACCACACAGCTGCGTTTCCAAGCAGTGGCTGCTCAAGGGGCTGCTCCCTCCAGAACAATCAGCCTGGCTTCGTGGTAAACACTCATGCCTCCTGTGCATTTCTCCTGCAAGACTTCCCCGCCCATCCGGCTGCAGTCCAGGTGCTGACTTTGGGTACCAACCTCCGTGTCAGTTCTTCCCCTCGTGGTAAAGGGTGCAGGGCCACCCTGCCTGTCTTTTCCCTCCCCGTCTCCCTTCTCTGTCATATGGAGGACAGACGTTTTGTTGCAAATTGGTAGTGGAAGAGCACATGGTTCACGCCCTGCCTATGGCCTGCCCGGTGGAGTGGGAGCAAGCAAAGCTGCTTCGTGGGCCTTCTCTCCCCACGTCGCTCCCGTGGCAGGAGGTGCGGGCTGCACTCTGACCTCCAGGGGCCTACCTTTGCCAACCCACCTTTGCACCTGCCTGGAGAGGACAGTGCCATCTGTCGTAGAATGTGACATGGGAAAGAAGGTGTGGCCTGGCAGATGGTTTGCTGCGGGAGGGAGCAGAGCAAAGAGCAGGGGAGAAGGAATTCAACAGAGCTCCAGGCGGCAGAATCTCCCAGCAGGTGTCCAGAGGCTGTTACTGCAGTGACGTGCGATGAGTTACAAACCCTCCCGGTAGTTCAGGTCACTAGAGTCACAGATGGCCATGGAAGGAAGGAGCTGCCCCACCAGGGATGAGCAACGCAGTCCCAGTGTGGGCAAAGGGCCTGGGTGACCGTGGAGGACTCTGGGAGTCAGGGTCAGTGGATGGGGGGGCAGACTCCGAGACTCCCCTCCGTCTTGTGATCCCCAGTTATGTCTTCTGGAAACAATCCAGGTCTCAAAAGGAGGCTGAGGGGTTCCGTGAGGGGTGCTTGCCCTCAGCCCGCACGCCTGGCTGCTCACAAGCTTCAGTCGACGCTTCCGTGGTCACCACGCGCCCTGAGGGCAATGGGGGCAGGTTTAGGCGCGTCTGCCACCTGGCATCTGCTGAGCTCTTCTGCTTTACCCACAGCCTGGAGAGCATCCGTCAGTGCGGTGTTGCCCTGTGCATCGTGCTCGGCTTCTCCATCCTGTCTGCGTCCATCGGGAGCTCTGTGGTGAGGGACAGAGTGACTGGAGCCAAGAGGTTGCAGCACATAAGTGGCCTTGGCTACAGGACGTACTGGTTCACTAACTTCCTGTATGACATGGTAGGATTCGGGGACCCCACCCTGTGTGCCTCTGCGCCCTGATATGGTTAAGGGGGGTTGGGAGGGAGCCTTTTCCTGGCAGTGTGTTGGTCCAGGTTAAGTCGTTATAGCTGACCACCTGCAGCCATCCAGAACTGCTTCCTAAGGGGCAGCTGACCAGCCCGGAGGGCTAGAAACCTGCAAGGGAAGGGATGTGCCCAGATGCTAAGTGTTGTGTGGGGAGATGAGTGAACGGTCACCTTTAACGTGCTCTCTGCAGGGGGAGGAGGGGAGGGTAGTTAGAAGGATTCGTCACCCCCATGCCTGCAACCTCCTGCCGTGAGGTCTGTGGCCCGTTCCCTAGCAGGAGCCCTGCAGTGGGTGCCAGTGCCTTCCTAGGATTCAGGTCCCACTGCAGGACGCAACAGACGCACCGTCAACATGTTTCCTCCAGTTCCACACGCTTGCTGTAAGAATTGTGCTGCTCAGTGGTCAGCGCCCGCTTCTGTTGTTAGGCTGTGCAGGGGAGAAGTCAGGTTTTACCCTCAGGCACGTGATTTGTCCTGCGACACGGAAAACCTAACTTCACAGCAGGCAGAAGTGGCCCAAGGTTTGCTGAGCACCTGCTGCGTGACTCAGTGCAGAAGCCAGCACGTGAGCCTGTTCTCCTCAGCAATTCTGTTCCTGAGCCGGTCAGTTTCCTTTTAACCGTGTTCCCCGGATGTTAGTCACGTTCCCTGGATTTTTTTTCCCTGAAAGTGCAGTTTGTTTGGGTCACCCGAACCTTTCAGGAATTTGTTTAGTTGAATTGCGTTCCCCAACCCTGCCTGCTGGCAGTGGTCACTTGGGGCTCTCAGTGGCAGGGAGGACGTGGAGACCTCCCCTTCCAGGCCCTGGTCAGAGGGTCTGCACGAGACACGGAGATCGGACCTTCCTCAGCACCCAGGGTGATTCCTGACTCCAAGCCATGACGGGGAAGTGCTGGCCCCGTCCCTTCTGTACCGGGGACTCCTGCAGGCAGGAGAGGGGAGGACACTCCCCAGGTGCGTGTCCCCTGGGTGATAAAGTCCCATTCCCGTCCATGGCTGCTGGCCACTGGCCGCTGCATCTCATGGTCACGTTGGGGCCCGTATAGAAGAGGCCGGAGAGCTCTGGAGCCTCCGTCGTGTGAGGACAGGAGGCGGCACTGCCCATGACGGGGAAGCAGCCCTCCGCAGACCCCGAATCTGCTGGAGCCCGCATCGCGGGCCTCCCGCTCCGGAGCTGTGAGCGGTGCGTTCCTGAGCCTGGTAAGCGTCTGCCCTGTGGCATGCTGCTGTCGTCCAGTGGACAGAGGTGGATGGAGCCGGGGTGAGCAGAGGAGAGTGCCTCCTTCACAGGGCTGAGATCCTTTAAAGAAGAAGCAAAGGAAGCACTCAAATGCACAGGGTGCGGTCGGCTCACAGCTGCACGTGTGAGAACGCAGGAGATAGTGGCTTTCAGTGGGGAGGCCCTGACGCCGAGAGCTGACCAGCGAGAAGGAGCTGCCCTGTGGGTGATGCCGAGGAGGGCCCTCTAGCCAGAGGAGGAGTTGCTGGCTGGGTCAGGTTTGCTGTGGGCCTGTGGGAGCACCTGGAGGGCAGGGTGGGCAGCGAGGGTCGGTCCCTGCCCACAGTGGGGGTGTTGCGTTTCGTGGGAGGTATCTGCGTCCCTTGGCCCTTCCTGCAGGAGATGGCTGAGGGTGACAATGCCAGTAGGCAGGCATTTCAGCATGTTTGCACAAACATGAGTTTACCTCAATATCCGTGCCCATCTGGAAGTAGCTGGTGTTGCCAGCAGAGATGTGGCTGCTCACGGCCCTGAAGCGGACGTCTGAGATCAGGGCTGGGCATGGCTGGTTTCTCCTGGGCGTGCAGGCTGCACTGCCTTCTCCCCTGCGGTCGCCCCCTCTGTGTGCTAGTGGCTAATCCACTCATATGATGGGGTCACTGGTCATGCTGGAATAGGGCCCCCCCCCCCAATGGCTGCGCTGAAATGTAATGAGCTTTTCCAACACAGTCCCATTCCACCTGGGCTTCGGGGTCACAGCTCGGCCAGTTAAGACTGGTTCTCCAGGACCAGGTCCGCTGCTAGGCAACCTCCACAGGAGCCCATCTGAAGTCGGGGTGAGTGGATCATGAATATGCGCACCTGATGTAACAGGCCCCGTTTTTCTCTTTCTCTTCTCAGCTCTTCTACTTGATTTCCGTCGGCCTGTGTGTAGCCATTATCGTCCCCTTCCAGTTAACAGCTTTTACCTTCCGCGAGAACTTGGCGGCCACGGCCCTCCTGCTGGCGCTCTTCGGGTATGTGATGAGAGACGCTGCCGCAGAATTACGGTTTGTTTGCCGAAGGAGAAAACCCTCAGGATGGCTTTGAGCCTGCTGGCGGCTTCATGCTTTTCTCTCTCTCCAAGCAATTACGCTGCTTCTGCACAAGGCACCGAGCAAACAAGTCAGGGCCGGCGGCCGAGTGCCTGTGGAGGCAGGAAGGGTGCCGGGGCAGAGTGGGGACGGCACGGCCCCGTCTCAGGAAGGCCCTCGAGCGGGTTGACGAGGCGGTGCCGTCCGAGATGGGTTCTCTGTTACTCGCACTGTGGCTCGAGTGTGTAGTCCAGTTAGCTGCAGAATCGCTTCGTGGAGATTCTCCCGTGAAGCTCTGTCCCGGGTATTTTCCCCTCTCCTGTGATGTGAGGGGCTGGAAAGGTTTCGTCTAACCGTTCTCACTTTTTCTCAGAGGAAAAACAACAAAAGCCGGAAACTAATTCCGCACATTGCACGTTTGTGCACGGCGACGAGGACCTTAGCTCGTGTCCCCAGCGCTGGGAACGTGTGTGCCATTTTAGATGCCACACCTGCACGTCCAGCTACGGGCTGCGTATATAGGAGACGGTGGCTGAGGGCAGGGAAAACAATTAAAATGCTAATTTGTTGTAATTCAAGGCTGCCTTTGAAACAAAACATCCTGCTTTTATGTAATCCACAGACTCTAAGGAAAATGATCCTTACATAGGTTTTAGTTAAACTCGCGGCCTCTGGACAGCTATTAGCGGACAGAGTTTCACTTAACCAAGTGTGCGTCACCGTGGCTGGCTGGGTGGATGACTGTAGCGGGAAAGAGGAAGATTTTGGGAACCATGAGGTTGCCAGTCGTTAGCTCTGTGGCCCCGGGAATGTCAGCTTCTGTCTGGAGCCTCAGCTCCCTCCTGTAAAACTCCATTTCTGTTGCTTGAAGACTGAACCGAGCAGCTCCTGTCAGCGTCGCAGGCCACCCAGGGTGAAGTCCCAGGCTGTTTAGCGGGATTAGTGCTCTTGGAGTTGTTTTACTCTTTAGAGGCTGCTGGGTCTTCAGCTACAAAACTCGCTGGTGGTGTGTAAGTTTACGCGACTGGGAGGTTACAAGCCCAGGTATCTATTGGCGAGTCTGCCTCATTCTCAGAAAATAATCTGATTGGTTTGTTGACTCCGCTGAATGGATCCTGTTACTACATGCCCTTAGAGTGTGAGAGAAATAGACCTTGTTATAAAATCAACTTTGAATTTAGGAGAGCAGAGTTCAAAAACTAAGGTGAAACTTAGACACAATGAAGTGGTTAGATTCTCTTACAAACCACGTTTTTAGAAATTGTGTTAATCTTGCCTTGGTTGTGAACCCCTTTACGAGTCTGAATTCAGCTAAGAATTCTCTCCACCTGCCTCACAGTGCTGTGCAAGCAGTCTCTGGAGAGGCACAGACCTGTTGTTGCAGAGGCGTGGGCCGGCAGGGGTTCCGCACTCCTGGTTAAGGGTTCTTAACTTGGAGGACTACGAGATGTCGGGAGCCAACTTGGACTGTGTCTGCGATCGCGCCGAGATGAGACTCACAGGGTGCTCCCCCTTCCCTGGAGTACAGCCCTGCACACGGCTCTGGAGCTCGGCCCTGCACGGGGAAGGACAGCAGGCAGCCAGCCACCTTGCCGGCTCAGGCTGGGGCCAGCCAAGCTGCTGGCCCTCTTGACCCCACAGGACCCGTAGGTCCCGGAGGCCCTGAAACAGTCCCGGCAGGCTGACACCAGGCCCTGAACTGTGGCTCAGTGGCCTGAGAGCTGAAGAAGGCAGGGGCAGGGTGGGTGAATACTTCCCCTAGGACACGGCAAAGCAAAAATACCCAGCGCTTTTTTTCTAGCAAGGGAAATTTGGTATCTGAGCTGTAAAGGTGCGGGATTAGCATTCAAAAGCGGAAGGTGGCATATAAAAATGACAAAAAAAAAAAAAAAGGTGTAGCTTACATAGCCATGGAGACGCTTCACCACGTCACGTATCTTGTGAGTGCTGATGTATTGATTATGCGTTTTGTGAATAAGAGAGGAGCTGGAAGGCACCAAACAGAACAGAAGCTGAGACTTTGAGACGCGTCTGGTGCGCATGTAGTGCCCACAGACTGAAGATAAGGCCACAGAATCCTGTTTGGTGCCTTCGGAAATTCTCTCAGCTTGGGAAAGGGGCCAGCTGCCCCGATGATCCCAGAATGCTTGTGGATATGCGCCGATCTCCTGCAAATTAAAGGACACTAAAATGATCCTGCACTGCATTTTAATAAAACAGTGGAGATCATCAAAGGCCATCACCAAAACTATGTAAGTCAATTTAATCTTTTAAAAAACAAAAAGGCATAGAGGAACTAGAGTTGCTAATATGTTAATTTAAACCAACCATTTGAAAGGCAACTAGTGAAAATATAGTAAAAAAAAAAAAAGAAAAGAAAAGAAAACATAACAAAAAAAACTAAAAACAAGGGTCTGGAATCATAGCTGGCTGAAAACCAGCCCGGAGACTCTTGGCTAAGGTCGCGATGGGACCTCTCAGTGCGAGGATTCAGAACAGTGCCTTTGTCTCTTAATTATGTCTTAAATAGTAGATTGGTGCACTGAGCTCTTTAAAGGACAGACCCAGAGCAGCCCCCTTGTGGAGTGAGCGGCTCACATGGAGCAGAGACTGGTCTCCGGGTGGTTACTGGTCCCTCAAGTGCAGACGGGGTGCCCAGGCCTGAGAGCCCCCTTGTGGAGTGGTGGCTCACACGGAGCAGAGACTGGTCTCCGGGTGGTTACTGGTCCCTCAAGTGCAGACGGGGTGCCCAGGCCTGAGAGCCCCCTTGTGGAGTGAGCGGCTCACACAGAACAGAGACTGGTGTCCGGGTGGATACTGTCCCCTCAAGTGCAGATGCGGTGCCCAGGCCTGAGAGCAGGGCAGCAGGGCCCCTGCGTTCTCCCATTGCAGACACTGGTCAAAGCAGGAGACGGCCTTGCTGTGCGCTGGCCCCACCTGCCTGGGAGGCCCGGGAGGCGCTGCCACCCTGGCTCCAGGGTCCCCCCCACCCCATGACAAAGTTGGACGGTGAGAGCTGGCTGGAGCCAGGCTCATACGGAGCAGAGAAAGGCCTGGTGTTGTGACCCGGGGCGAGGCGTCCCACAGTGGCTACCTTCGGCTTCGCCTGGACTGAACAGGCTTGGCCAGGTGCTGTTCCAGAACAGCGTGAGCTGGTGGCGTCTGCTGGCTCGGGGTCTCCCAGCGACGTGCCGCTGCCCAGGGCTGGGTCACAAGCTTCTGCCGCTGTGTGTGTCTCGGTACTCTGATTGCATTCACGTCTCAGAGCAGCCCCCGGCGGAGTCCGCTCCGGGTTTCTGCCCCTAGGGACCCTGAGGGAGCGGGGAGGGTGTGCTGCGAGTGTGGGCGGGCTCCACTCCTGTCCCCGCGCTGTGTTTCGGAGGTGCTGAGGTCGAAAGCATGGAGTGGCCCGTCCTCTCCTCTTCCGCGGTGATTTTGGTTCGATTTAATTCTGCTGCAGAACCACTGGCTGAAGCTGCCCGCCCTTCCTGCGCTCGGATAGTTTTCCTGTACTCACGTCCTGAGGGCCGGTTGCTGTTGAGTGAAGTCCTGGAAGCTGCGATGTTGTGTATAAAATTACTTTTACGGTCCAAGCAGAAGGCTGTGCCTCTGCACCTGCAAGGCACCCAGTATCGCAGGCTGCACGCTACCATAGCAACCATCTGGAGGCCCTAGCGCCTGTGCCGTGCTCGCAGAGTTTCAGGACCTTCAGGAGGTAACAGGTCGGGGCCCTGGAGTACTTCCGGTTCCGCGGGCAAGCACTGGAGGGTGCAGAGACCACGAGGGCCCCGTGTGCGTGGGCCACCTGGGGACGGTGGGGATTGTGAGTCAGGGACTTTGCTGAGGTTCGGAGCTGTCACTCAAAGTGCCAGTTTCTTTAAAGTGATGCACTTGAGGGTGACAGAGCTGAGGGTCTGCATGATGGAGGCTGGCTCTAGGATTGTGGGGGAAGAAGGAACAAAGCAGGGGTTTTGTTCTGAGGCATTTGGGCGGTGTCCTGGATGTCAGTGTCAGGGGGCTGCAGAGCTGACTGCTGGGCGTGGCCCTTCCCGTGCCGGCTGTGGATGCCCGGCTGTGGGGTCTGCTGTCAGATCAGGATCGTGGCGCGGGCTTCTGGGTCGTGGGAGTCAGTGCTGAGGGTGCAGGGGGCCACTTGATGGCCACTGCAGGGGGCTCTGGGGGGAGGGGTGTCCACTGCAAGTTTCCTGCCTGATTTTGATGCAGGCAGCTTCCCAGACTCTGCTGTCCTCTAACCCTCTCAGTAACCACCAGGTGTTGCTCCTGACTCACCCAGGAGCGCCCCCTTGTGGGAGACAGGGGAGGTCAATCATGTGCACGCCACACCCCATGCTGCTGCTCCTCTGCCAGGGGGCTTCCAAATGCCTCCGGAAAATGGAATTTAAGGCTTTTGTTGTTGTTGTTGTTGGTTCAAACAATACATAACACATAGAAAATGCATATTATGCAACAACCATACATGGATTTCAAAAAAATGCACCAAAAATAACATCATACCTTTTTTTAAAAGATTTATTTTATTTATTTGAAAGAGTTACAGAGGGAGAGGGAGAGGGAGAGGGAGATGGAGAGGGAGGTCTTCCATCTGCTGGTACACTCTCTAAATGGCCGCAATGGCAATATCTGGGCCAAACTGAAGCTGGGATCCAGGAGCTTCCTCTGGGTCTCCCATGTGGGTGCAGGGGCCCAAGGACCTGAGCCATCCTCCACTGCCTTCATAGGTGCATTAGCAGGGAGCTGGATCAGAAATGGAGCAGCCGGGACTTGAACTGGCCCCCATACGGATGCTGGCACTGCAGGCAGGGCTTCAGCCTGCCCCCCACAGCACCAGCCAACTCATACCTCTTTTAAAAAAGGAATGTATTTAATGCTAGAGTCTCAGGGTCACAGTAAATTGCATGCTGACTGCTACAACACAATTCTCATTAATTCTCATATTAACACGATGTGATGCAGTAATACAAAGAGAACAAACTCAATGTAGTTCCTCTCTTCAATCCCCAAAATAGAATCTTCCCGTCCTCCCTCCTGTCGGTCTCCCCCTCCTCCTTGCTCCTTTTTGATTTTTGAGATGCCTTGTTTTTAACTTACATTATAGTCAGAGGCTTAATACTACACTAAATAAATAGTAAAAAGCAAAAATATATAGTTCAGTGGGAATATGGACAAGGACTATAAACAGCAATCTGGTAAAGACGTCCGTGTCACCTGTATGCAGTCGCTTGTTAAATGATCACAGGTCACCAGCACTAAAGCGGTACATTTCTGCTAACAGCTGGTTTGACAGACATAAAGCAAACTTTGAAAAACCATATTTTCTGCAGTCCACGAACCTTGTATCCTGTGGAAGCCCTGAGGAGAGCGAGCGAAGCACTTCCGCTGCAGCACCGGGGGATGTGCTGAGTCAGGTGTGCCTCTGGCCGCTCAGTGGGAAGCCGGCAGGCCACAGGATCACACCCGTAATCCGGTCGGTGCGCAGGTCGGTGCCGCAGCGTGGATGTCTTGCCCTGCTTTTCAGATACGCAACGCTCCCGTGGATGTACCTGACGTCCGGCCTCTTCTCCAGCGCGGACGTGGCTCTCATCTCCTACATCTCGCTGAATTTCATCTTTGGCCTGTGCACCATGCTCATGACCACCGTGCCCCGGCTCCTGGCCATCGTGTCCAAAGCCCAGGTTGGTCCAAGGTCCCAAGTCTTCCCCACCCCCGCCAATGAACGATTGAGAGCAGAGTGTGGATGCCCGATTGTTTTGTCGCTTTTCCAACTGGTATCCGACACCATCTGCCGTCTGCAAGCTGTGGAGAGAGAAACTGATCCTAATGAACAGCACCACATCTGTCATCGTAAGAGCCACGTCCCAGCTGCGCCACCGTCGGCACAAATGGAGCTCAGTTTCCCCTGCTCCCCTGGTGAGGGGAGAGTGTGAGGGTGTTGGCTGCTACACCCACACACCCCCACACCCACACACCCACACACCCACACCCCCACACCCCCACACCCCCACACCCACCCCCGCCAGCTCCTCACGCAGTTTGCTGATGATCCGCTGGAGCCGGTTTTGTTTTGCTGTCGTCTGAGCGTTGGAGAAACGTCAGGGCACTTTTCAATTGTTGGAGCAAACGTGGGACCCGTGGTTGGGAGCAATCCTCCTGGGAGGGAGGCGCCTCTCTGCAGTAGACTGCTCCTGTCTGCCGGTCACTCTGGGGTCTCTGCTCCAGCTGCTGACCGACCCTGTGAGTCTGCTGCTGTGTCCCTTCCTCTCTGTCTCCTCCCCAGGGAGGCTGACCTCAGCAGGTTGTGGCCTCTGTATTAACCCGTCTTTCAGTCCCTGGTCTCGCTGCACCACCTGCAGGAAGGGACTCCAGCCTTCGCGCCCTCCTCCGCCCCTGGATTTCAGCCCTTCCTGTTCTCTGCTCTGACGACTCTGTTCTCTTGGGGCTCCCTCTGGTTGCCGTGTGCTCTGCTTCCTGAGTAGCTCCAGGTGCCGCATTGACTCATGGGCTGAGACCACCTGGGGAAAGTACAGGTGTGGGTGCGGGACTGATGCACACAGCTGGACCTGTAGGGCACGACAGGCCTCCAAGGTTGGCCAGGCGGATCTCTGCTTGTCCTCGTGCCGCATGTCTGTACAGAGGCACCCACGTGTGTAAGCGTCCATTACGCAGTCAGTGAAGGAAGCCGTCTATTCCAGTGGGTTTGCAGGTCTACTCCAGTCATGCGCCCGCCTCTGGATAGAAGGGCTGAAGAGCAGTTAATTGGCGTTGGCTTGAGGAGAGTGTGAAAGCAGCAGAGGCAGCGCGTGACTTCCTCCCTCCCTGGCAGGTCTTCAGGATGACCCAGCCGCGGCTGTCACGTGTGAGCTATGCGGAGAGGGAGATGGGACGCAAGGTGGAGGGTCCCTGTGTGAGGAGCTCAGATGCAGAGGGCTGCTCTAGGGGGTGGGCTTGCAGGGGAGGGGTCAGCTCCAAAGGGAGAGCAGTCAGGAGCCTTCCCACCCACACAATGCCAAGAGTGCGGCGTGGAAAGGCCTGGTGACCTCAGTCGCGGGCAGCCCTGCTCCCTGGACAGACACCGGCAATGCGCTGTTAGCAGAAACGTCAATCGGAGTCACCTGGGAGAAATAGTAAAAGACGTTTCAGTAGTTTGGCAAAATCTTTCTTTTCCTTTGTTCTTTGATATTCTTTGCAAAAGAATATTGACACTGCTAAAATATTCATTTTACATTATTTCAAGTAGTCGTTGGTAAGTTATGCCGCGGTAAGCCCTTCAGGAATTAATGAAGCCAGGAAGGCAACTGGGCTCCCGGCCACCCCTGTGTTACCATTGCACATGCAAACTGCAGTGTGGGTGCCCCGCTTGCTGCTGCCAGCCGCCGTGTGTGAGGTGGCCAATTCTAGCATCAATGTCGATCCCCACAAATCCATGGTTTGTTCTGTAAATTTGTGCAGCTCCCTGCCCTCATTGTGTGAACTCTTCACCTCAGCACCCATGCATGGCAAGCACTTTTGTTCATAGTTTTATAAAGACCATCGTGAGTTTCTGGAAATCAGATAGGAGCATTTAAAAAATTTTGAAATCTAGGCATATAAGACATCTTCATGGACAATGTATATGATGAAAAGGCTATGCAAAAATATTTTTTAAAACTTTTGAAGATTTATTTATTTGAAAGGCAGAGTGGCAGAGAGAAGAGACAGAGATCAATCTTCCATCCACTGACTGGTTCACTTCCTAAATGGCCACAACAGCCAGGGCTGGGCCAGGACAAAGCCAGGAGCCAGGAGCTCCACCTGGGTCTCCTCTGCGGATGGCAGGGGCCCAGGTACCCGGACCATCGTCTGCTGACTTCCCAGGCACGCTAGCAGGGACCTGGACTGGAAGCAGAGCAGCTGGGCTCAAACTACTGCTCTGATATGGATGCCAATGATGCGGCTGTGGCTTAGCCTGCTGTGCCCCCACCCTGACTCGGCCCCCCAATTTTTATTTCAAAATAAATAACTTTTAATTCCATGAACCTTTGAACTACTTTGTATAAATAAAGTTGTCATTATTAATATGTCATTTCCCTAGTTATTAGTTTGAGTTAAAAATACAATATTCTGCTATTTCTGTTATCACCAATAATAGGAAATTCTTTAATTTGATAGATTACTTGATCCAGGGACATATCTTACAAAGAGTGGGGTAAATAAACCCCTTAAGGATTGGTTGGTATTTATAACTAGTGGCAGGTAGTCAAGTAAATCTATGGGGAAATTAAATGGAGTTTTGTACTTTATTGTCTATGTGCAAAGCCAATAAAGCACAATAGGACAATAAATGCCCTTAAAAGTGGTTATTGAATTCCTGCTGCCCCAAACCACATTATTCAAAACTGCATTTAACCCGGTCAAAAGTTTGCAGCATAGGAAAATCTGCACATCAGTATGAATATGATTGACAGCCCTGTCAGTTTATTCTCTGATGCTATGACGTGCATTGTTGTGCATTGTGTGTACACACTGTGAAGATTTGGTGCCTTAAAAGTTAGGTCAGTTGCTGAGCTGACATAAGAAAGAAAGATTATAAAGTGTGGACTGATTCCTCGTACTTCCATAGCCTTGCTGGTTTAGCCATTGCCATTCACGTGGCCGTTCTGGGTGGAATACTCTAAAGCAGCCACACGAAGCCTGGTGTTCAGCTCACGTGTCAGCGCTGTGTCGAAACGCCTCCAGCCTGTGCTCCTTGGTGGAAAGGTCTCCTTCTGGGGACCGGACGGTGGTGGATCAATCCTGTCCCCGCCGCGGTGTGACTGCACGCCTGTCAGCCCCTGGGACTGCGTTTCCTCAGTGGTCACTGAGTGAGTCCCTGGCACCTGTGCACTTCCGGGTGGGATGGACTGTGATGACGCGCAGTGCAGCTGGAAGCACGCAATAGCCTGCACAAAGCATTTAGTGGACACATGATTGCACTGTAATAATTTTAATCTCATTAGACAATAAAATTAATGCCTACCAGATGGTACAGACAGTAAAACTAGGGTAGATGTTGACTTTTTAGAACATTCAATTAAGCTATATTCAAACACACATGCCATCCTACATTTTTTATTTTCTCTGGAATTCTGTCCTAGCTGTTCTGTTCCTATCATCTCCTTATTCATGCTTGTTCTTGGAACACTGCCTAATTCTGTGTTTAATAACAACAACTACATATATTTTATGCTTACTGTATGTTAAGAATAAAGTTCGCAGAACCAACGGCAAAGGAAGACCTTTCTCTCTGTCTCTCTCTCTCACTGTCCACTCTGCCTGTCAAAAAAGTAAAAAATAAAAATAAAAAAAATGTTCACAGCCACAGATTCTAGAATTACTGACTCCAAACACTCACTCCGCCTTGTAACTGATGTTACCTGCATGTCTTCGCTTAGGCTGCTATAGCAAAATCCAGAGACTGGGTGACGTAGACCATAGCATTTACTTCTCACAGGTCCGCAGGCTGCAAGTTCAGGGTCCAGGTGACTTCAGTTTAGTTCTTGATGAGAGCCCTGTTAGTGGCCTGCAGGTGCTGGCTTCTCACTGTGTCCTCACACAGAGGGGAGAGCCCTCTGGTGTCTTCCTCTTTTTGTAAGGGCACTGATTCCACCCTAGGATCCCCACCCTCATAACCTATGTTCACCAACTACCTCCTTCTCAGCGGGGTTTAGGCTTCCTGCAGCCCACAGCATCATACCATTTGGTCACCCAAGTGCATGTCTCTGCATTCAAAATGCATTAATGCCCTACCAACAGCCCCCAAGACTCAGCTAATCCCAGCACCAACTCTAACTTCAGTGTTTGGCTAACTATCACCCCAGGTGTGGTGCATCCTGGGGCACAGCACTGGCTGGCTGTGAACCTGTGAAAGCAAACTCGAACCGTGGACGTAATCAGTGGACATTCCCATCCCACAAAGGAGAACTAGGAAGGAAGCAGGCAGGTGCCACCTGCTCTTCCGTCTCGGGAATAATCCCCTTGGTGGGCGACTTCCTAAGGGTGCCACTGGGCAGCAGGGGTGGGGTCTGGAGTACAGATCGCCCAGGAGGAAAAGTGCCACTGCCGTCTGTTATGCACACAGGAGAGACTTTGAGTTTGCTTTTTCCTCTCTCTCACTGTGCAGAACCTGCAGAACATCTATGATGTCCTCAAGTGGGCCTTCACTATTTTCCCCCAGTTCTGTCTGGGTCAAGGCTTGATTGAACTCTGCTACAATCAAATCAAGTACGACCTGACCCACAACTTCGGCGTGGATTCCTACGTGAGCCCCTTCGAGATGAGCTTCTTGGGCTGGATCTTTGTGGAACTGGCCGTGCAGGGCACAGTGGTTCTTCTGCTGAGGATCCTGCTGCACTGGGACCTCCTGCGGCCATCAAGGTCGGTCCTGGGGGCTCCTTCTGAGGGGCGTCTGCTCCCGGATAAAGGGAGGGCCGTGGAGGTTGCAAGACCAGAAGTCGTGTGTTACAAAGGATCCAGTGAGCGTAGTTTTAGTTTCCTTTTAACTCTGCTTGGGGCAAGCCACAACACAGGAAGGAGGATTTTAAAAGGGAGATGCCAGTCTATGAGATAATCTTCCCAGTTATTTATTTGCCTCAGTGCATTTTCCACTGTGGAATTCCTCAATTTCCAGTATTTCGTAGCACGTAAGGTGAATCTGGTTGGCACCATAAAGTAATTTTATGACTAACACTGCCAGCTCCTGGCAGCGGGACGATAACCACAGGTCCTGTTGCTCTGGTTGTGAGAAGTTGAAAGTCAGACGCACAAGGTGTAGGTAGCCGTGCAGACACACGATACGATAGCATGTGCGTGCACACACAGACACGCATGCCTCCTATTATGGGGTTTGGGATGGCTTTGCAAGGATGTCTGCGAGATGTTGGGGTTGAGAAACACACCTTCATCTGAGAAAGGAAATTAAGATCCAAGCAGAAACGTGTAAAATGCGATGGATTTACACAGACTGAACACATTCATGTAAGCCCTTCTCAGATTCACAAATGGGACACTCGCGGCATCTCCCACGCTTGCTCCTCTGGCCAGGCAGTAGCCACTGTAACGGCTGTCTTGTTTCTAGCTCCCTTGACTCATTTCGATATTTTCGAATGTTATATGAATGACATCATATAACATATAGAGGGGCTTCAAAAAGTTCATGGAGGCCGGCGCCGCGGCTCACTAGGCTAATCCTCCGCCTAGCGGCGCTGGCACACCGAGTTCTAGTCCCGGTCGGGGCGCCGGATTCTGTCCCGGTTGCCCCTCTTCCAGGCCAGCTCTCTGCTGTGGCCAGGGAGTGCAGTGGAGGATGGCCCAAGTGCTTGGGCCCTGCACCCCATGGGAGACCAGGAGAAGCACCTGGCTCCTGGCTTCGGATCAGCGCGGTGTGCCAGCCCCGGCGGCCATTAGGGGGTGAACCAACGGCAAAGGAAGACCTTTCTCTCTGTCTCTCTCTCTCACTGTCCACTCTGCCTGTCAAAAAAAAAAAAAAAAAGTTCATGGAAAATGGAATTAGAAGATGAATTCACTTTGGCACAAAATTCTTCAAAATCTTTGCTTGTGTATTCATTAGTCGCTGGCTATACTTCCTCATCACCCGCATGTGTGTCTGTGGAATAAGCTATTTGTCTAATGTAGTTTCAGAAGTGGAAAAATAATACAATAATACAAGGAAATGAGCCCGAGATGGTGGATGCTGCCAGTACAATTTTTAGTATCCTTTTTATTTTAACATCATTTCAGTCGCAAAACGTTGTAAAATTAGTAGAGAAAGTTCCTGTTAGCTTTCACTCAACTTCCTGCAGTGATAACAGGATAATGTGTTGCAGCCAACGTCACCCCAGGAAAGCGAGGGAAGTGGTCTTGGCCTAACAGCCCTGCACACACAACGGTGTTTCAGTCCGCAGTGGGCCATGTACACAAGCTCCAGTGGAGCTGGAAAGTCCCTGCCTAGCCTCACAGCGCAGTGTTCCTGCTGTGAGCCCTCCACTGCACGGCCAGTCACGTGAGGACACAGCACACGAGCTGTGCACGGTGCCTGAGACGGAGATGAGCCTCCGGGACTGTGCACTGACTGTGTGTCTTTCATTATCTCAGAGCGCGTCCACAGTGCTGTTACTGTGTGCCAGCTGTCTTGCCTGGCCTGGAACCTCACACACATCCAGTTTACCGTGTTGTTAAAAAAATTCTTGATTTGAGAGATAGAGACACGAAGAGAGAGGGAGGAGGATTGGGCACGAGTGCTCTCGTCCACTGACTCACCCCACAAGTGACTGTAGTTTCTGTGACCAGGGCTGGAGCCAGGAGCCGGGAACTCACTCCCAGGCCTGCCGTGGAAGTGAGAGGAACCGATCACCCGGGTCATCACGGCTGCTCTCCAGGAAGCTGGAGTCGGGAGCTACAGCCGGGATTCAGTGTGCGATCCGTGTGTCAACTGCTAGGCTACATGCACCCCCCGCCCCCTGCACCTGCCTCTTGTGTGCTTTATATAATCTCAATGATTTGGTTTTCCATGGCCCTGGGAGCAAAAGGCTATAATTTATAGATATATATATGTGTGTGAATATCTCTGTATAATACCCTAGATGTGTAGTAGCCTATATCACCCAGGGTTTTGAAAGTAAACGCTGTGGTGCTTTGCACAATGAAGAAACTGCCTGATGAGCCTTTCTTGGGATAAGTCTCTGCTGCTAAGCAGTGCGTGACTGCGCTCCCATTGTCTGTGCATCGTTAATCATTAGAATGTTGGCATGTCACAGTTTACAGCGAAATTGAAAATTTTTTGAAAGTTAAAATGCACCAGACTGAAAATCATAAAGAAGACTGAAAAGTGAGCAGCTCAGACTTAGGGAGTCGGTCAGTTACAGTTGAAGATTGCATTTATATTCACCTGGCTTATCAAATGCTTTGATAAGGTGTTGCACACAGTGTTGGCTAGACAACCCTTTTATGCAAGCCAATATGTTAAAAACACTATATCTGCATACCTTTATAAATAGTCTATTTTATTAAATACTGATTACCAAAAGTGCTTTCAAAAGCTGATGCCTTTATAGAGACGGGCGGTTGGCATGGTGGATAAGTTGCTGATTGGACACCCACTTCCCGTATTGAGGTTCCTAGATTGAGTCCCGGCTCCTCTGCTTCTGATCCGGCTCCTTATGAACATGCACCCTGGGGGAGAGCTGGTGAAGGCTCGAGTACCCTGGTCCCTGGCACTCACATGGGGGATCTGGACAGAGTCCAGGCTCCCGGCTTCAGCCTGGCCTGGCGCTGGCTGCCGTGGACATTTGTGGAGTAAACTAGCAAACGAGAGATATTTCTCTTTTTCTCGGTGTGTCTCTCTGGCTGTCAAATAAAATGAAAATATAAAATTTTAAAAGTTGAAGGCTTACAGCAACGTGATTTTTTACATTTAGCACAGCTTATTCATAAAAGCAGAAACTAGCTGTGGTTTGCTGCTGATCCATTTTGGTGTCTTTTAGGCATATACACTTTCCTTTAAAGTAGGGATGCGATTGACACTTGCCTGTGACCAGGAGCCCAGATGGCAGAGCAGACGCCACAGGGACCTGCGGGCGGTGCTCTGCTGATCCGATCCCAGCGTGGTTCCCAGCGTGAGTTAACCGGTTTCTCCTCTCCAGGGGTCCCTCTACCCTCCCCAGCACCGGCAGGTCTTCCAAGGATGTGGATGTTTGGAAAGAGCAGCTGAGGGTGTCGGAGGGCAGGACAGAGGGAGACCTCCTTGTGCTGCACAACCTTAGCAAACGCTACGGCAGCTTTTGCAAGAAGACGTCTGCCGTGCAAGGCGTCAGCGTGGCCATTCCGAGGGGAGAGGTACAGAGCTCTGTGTGCATCCTCTTGTGTAACTCCCCTTGTCGGTCTGCTTGTGTTCTTGTCAGAAGGTGGGAAATCGCAGCTACCAGCAGCCGTCAACCTCGGGAGTTCCTGCCAGGCCCCTAGAAGCAGAGCCTTCACTGAGGGTCTGCTGGCGCTTTTCATAGCAAAAGCTTTGCTGACTGGTTGTTTCCTGATTTTAAATGTCTCACGTGGTTGGGCAGTTTTTACTGGTTTGGTCAATGGGGTGGCTTTTTCTTTTTCCTCCTGTGACTTGGAGTTGACTTCTTTGGTTTCTGATTGAGCCCATTTAGCAAAATGCGGCTCTGGGGACATCGTATACCACGGCAGTGGCTCAGACTCTTTCACGGATCTGGAAGGAATTCCAGTAGGCACCTTTCATACACGTCGGTAGCGCATAAAGGGATAGCAGCCGTAGAAACGATTACTGTTGGCCAGCGCCGCGGCTCACTAGGCTAATCCTCCACCTAGCGGCGCCAGCACACTGGTTTCTAGTCCCGGTCGGGGCGCCGGATTCTGTCCCGGTTGCCCCTCTTCCAGGCCAGCTCTCTGCTGTGGCCAGGGAGTGCAGTGGAGGATGGTCCAAGTGCTTGGGCCCTGCACCCCATGGGAGACCAGGAGAAGCACCTGGCTCCTGGCTTCGGATTGGTGCAGCGCCGGCCATAGCAGCCATTGGGGGGTGAACCAACAGAAATGAAGACCTTTCTCTCTCTCTCTCTCACTGTCTAACTCTGCCTGTCCAAAAAAAAAAAAAAATACTGTTAATTAAACTTAGAAATAAAAGAGCACCTTGCCTTTGTATTGCTACCAGCTCCTGAGAAACTCAGAGCAGGTTTCCTTGTCATCCGTGGGCTGAGAGTGGGCATGTCAGAGGGGAGGATTCTGAGGCCAGCGCCCAGCCTGCGCAATCCCGGCAGCTCCTGATAACCTGGACGGTGGCTCCTGGGAGCATAGGAGCCAACGTTACGGGGAGATCCCGGGGCAGCTCCTCCTCACCGCCGCTCGGCTGGCGAGGCAGCCTCACCCAGCTCGCTGATTCTTCACCTTCTTTGGAAATCAGCACCCGCCTTGCCACTGCCTCTCCAAGTTGGGTTTCAGCTAAAGGGTAGGGGAGAGACTTGGACAGATGCGTGAGAACGGCGACGAGTGTCTGCAATGATCCAAGATGCCCGTTAGAGCTGGAGTCTGTCCTCCCAGGGTTCATGAGCGTCACAGCTCGGGCAGGCACGTGGAAGGTGCCACACAGGAGCCCATGCCCGGGACCCCTGTTTACGCTTCTGTGGCCCTCGGAGTAGTCACTCGGGGGAGAAGGTGCCTGATGCCGGGTGTGAACACAGAAGGTGAGATCACCTGTAGAACTGACATCGGGATCGGCCCACACTGAGTCAGGAGTGGATTTCAGTGGACAAAGGAGTGTACAAAAGCTGTTGTCACAATACTTACATATACAGCGAGGAGTGCAGGGAGGGTGGAGATGGAATACTTTTAGAAAGCCGGTATGTAGGGGCTGGTGCTATGGCATAGTACGCTAAACCTCTGCCTGCGGCACCGGCATCCCACATGGGCGCCAAGTTTGTGGCCTGGCTGCTCCTCTTCTGATCCAGCTCTCTGCTACGGCCTGGAAAGAAGCAGGCCCAGGTGCTTGGGCTCCTGCACACATGTAGGAGATCCGGAAGAAGTTCCTGGCTCCTGGCTCTGGACTGGCCCAGTTCTGGCTATTGCGGCCATTTGGGGACTGAACCAGCAGAGGGAAGACCCCTCTCTCTGTCTATAACTCTACTTCTCAAATAAATCTTTTTAAAGCAAGAAATTATAAATATATTTGTATATATTTTAAGTCAGAATTGGGTGGGGGGAGAGCATCCATCTTCAGGTTCGCTCCCCAGATGGCAATGACGGCCAAGATTGGGCCAGGCTGAAGCCAGGAGTCGGGAGCTTCTTCCAGGTCTCCCACATGGGTTCAGGAGCCCAAGCATTTGGGCTGTCCTTCTCTGCTTTTCCGGGCACCTTACCAGGGATTGGAAGTGGAGCAGCCAGGACTTGAACAAATGCCCATATGGGATGCTGGCGCTGCAGACAGCGGCTTAACCTGATACGCCACAGTGCTGGCCCTGAGAAAGCACTTTAAATATACAGATGTGAAATCAGGAAAAAAATTCCTTTTAAGATTTATTTATTTATTTGAAAGTCAGAGTTACATAGCGAGAGGAGAGCCAGAGAGAGAGAGAGGTCCTCCATCTGATTGTTCACTCCCCAACTGGCCGCAATGGCCGGAGCTGTGCCGATCCGAAGCCAGGAGCCAGGAGCTTCTTCTGGGTCTCCCATGTGGGTGCAGGGGCCCAAGAACTTGGGCCATCCTCTACTGCTTTCCCAGGCCAGAGCAGAGAGCTGGATCGGAAGTGGAGCAGCCAGATCTCGGACCGGTGCCCATATGGGATGCTGGCGCTCAGGCCAGGGCGTTAACCCGCTGCGCCACAGTGCCGGCCCCAGGAAACTAATATGATACGAGTCCCAGTGAATATTAGAGGGTTTCAGAAAGATTATGAAAAATGTCTGTTTTGAAAAATCTATGCATGAGTTTAAAAAATCATTTTGCAGCAAAACATCTTTTAAAAATTTAATTTTCCATTAACTTTTTGGAGTCTTTTTTTAATTTTAATTTTTTTAAAAGTTTTGTTTATTTGAAAGGCAGAGTTACAGAGAGAGGTCTTTCATGTGCTGGTTCACCCCCTAAATGACCCCAACAGCCAGGGCGGGGCCAGGCCAAGGCCAGGAGCCAGGAGCTCCTCCCAGGCCTCCACGTGGGTGCAGCGGCCCCGCCCCTTGGGCCACCTTTCCCAGCTTTCCGAGGCCACCAGCAGGGAGCTGGGTCAGAAGTGGAGCAGGATGCCGGGACCAGGGGCCTAACCCACGGCACTTTTATTTTCTGTTCACGATTTGTTGGAGTCTACTCTCCTCTCACGGAGCTTCCACGGTGAGGTTTCTTGTCTTCAGCAGCACTGAAGGGCCGGGTGCCCCAGGGCCAGCGGGCTGTCCCCCAACAGCACCTGTCGCGCTGAGGGCTGATGGAGCGCACTCTCTTCTTCTCTCCGCAGTGCTTCGGGCTGCTGGGCGTGAACGGAGCGGGGAAGACCACCGTGTTCGGCATGCTGACGGGCGAGGTCGGCCTGAGTTCGGGGCGCGCTGTGGTCAGGACGCCCGCGGGGTAAGGGCCGGCTCCCTCGCGTGTGCCCTGGGTAGGTGGGCGAGGCTGGAAAACTCAGTGGCTCCGTACCTACCGCCCCGCGCCACCCTTCCCGCCACAGCTGCGGCCCGGGAGGGTCCCGAGGGCCACCACGTGTCCCTGCGTCAGCGAGGCTGGGAGGGTCCCCAGGGCACCGCGTGCCCTAGGACTCCGACAGCTGACCGCTGGCCGGCTGCGGAGCGCGCCCTGGGTGTGCCGGCTGTGGCGCACACACTGAGGTCCCAGAGAGCGGGGCCCGAGCCCTGTGCGGAGCCGTCTCCGCCCTTGTGGGAGGCACAGGTGGCCCCTGGCGCGGTCAGCCTGCGTCGGCGTGGCCGGCCGGGCACCCTCCGCGCGCACGCGTGCACCCCGTTCGTTGGGTGGAGTGTCGCCCCCGGGTGCCCTGCGTCTGGGCGAGGACGGCCCTGCCCTGAGCCTGGACGGCCCGCACGCTGCCCGCAGCTGTTCTGGTCATCTGCATAGCGAAGCAGCTCCGGGCCAGGAGCCTGAGCTCCGGGTGTCCGTTTCGGGGCGTCTGCGTAGCCCAGGCGTGGGTTCTCGCTCAGGAGGACCCCTGGGCGGGGGACGCCGCGGGGCTGCCTCGGAGATTGCGGAGCGAGAGCCCCGGACCCCTGTTTGCGCTTCTGTGGCCCTCGGAGTAATCACTCACCCGGGGGAGCGTGTGCTCCTTGAAGGGCATCCCAGACGTAGGCCCGCTGCCTGGTTTCGTCTGCCTCCTGGGGCCCTGGAACCGTCCCTGATCCCTGCGGAGAAAACGTGCTTCCTTTCGGCTCTCATGGGGGTCGTGTGGAGTAATTTCTAGAAAAACAGCATCGTCATTCTTTGAATCAACAAATATGTAGTCCCTGCCTGTGAGGAACCAGGCACCAGGAGGGTAAAAATCTCCCTTAATTCTAAAATCCACTGTTACTAGTTGCATGTCTTTTCCCAACCTAATTTAATATATAAATACATATCTGATGTTTACATCCGATTTCTTACGTTATCTGAGTTTAAGTGAGTTTGTGTGGAAAGCGATATGCGTATTTCAAACACAGATGAGACTTAGAATATTTTTTGTCTCTCATTTGCATTTTTATTCCATAAGCATTTTATAATCTTAAGTAATTCTGATTAAAAGTTTCCGTTTGTGCATTTCTGATGCGCAGGGCACCTCACTGCTAGGTGATTTGAGTTCTCGTTAATTATGCTTGGACGAGTGCTACTCACATGTATCACATTTTTTATTTATTTACATTATTTGTTACATTTGTTAGTTGGTTTCCTTGCTGCTGGTTGCCTGTTTTGTCCCACACCTTTTTGTCTGTAATGTTGTCCGTCTGCTGTGTGCGTCTGGTGAGAGCAGGAGCTCTCGTGGGTCCTCGAAGCTCGGCTTCCTCCGTGCTCTGTATCTTGTGTTCTCTCTCAGAGGCTCCTCATGTTTAAACTGGGACGTCTACATGTACAGCTGTTCTCAGTTCTGATGGAGTTGATTTTACTGTTTTCTTTGTTGCTTCTTTTGGACTCAAGAAATTCTTTCCTTTTTTAAAAATTTTTTTCCTTTTTGATGCTGTAAAACTATTCTTTATATTTTCTTTCATAGGTATTTTTTACATTTATGTCTGATTTATATTGAATTTATATTTGAATATGTTGTATAGTTGAACTATAATTTGATTTTTTTCTGAAATACCATTTTCTCCACAAAATTTCTTTTGATGAGAAGCTCTTGCGTTGTCCACTGAGTTCTCAGATTGCCTGGGGATTGGTCTCAGTTCCTCTTGTTTTGTGTGGCATCCTGGGAGATCGTGTTGTTGGCTTCTCTTCCAGTTTGATTTCAGAATTGTTTGGACCATTTTAAACACTTCATTAGTACATTTTTAGAGGAATCATTTCATCAGACTCCATAAACAGTCATAATATTTGAATTTTGAATAGCATTATATCAGGCTTACACTACAAATTGAGATTTAATGTCTTTATGGTATTTTTGTCTGCCATGTTCTTTTTTGTAAAATTTTTACTTATTTGAAAGGGAGAGAGAGAGAGAGATTCCCATCTACTGATTCACTCCTCAGATGACCACAACAGCCAGGGATAGGCTGGGCTAAAGCTGGGAGTTGGGAACTCGGCTACTTGAACCCAAGTACTTGAGCCGTCACCTGCCTCTCGGTGCACCTTAGCAGGAAGCTGGAATCCGGCTCAGACCCAGACTAGAACCGGGATAAGGGATGGGTGTCGCACACTGCGTCTCAGTGGCTGTGTCAGATGCCGGCCCCTGCCTTACCCTTGACTATGGTTTATTCAAAGCACATAAATGCCGCCACTTAGTTTTTCAATTTTCTCTAAAGCCCTTGCATATCTTAGATTTATTCGTCCAGATCAGCCTGTGCGTATCAGAATATTTGCTTATCGTTGTTTGCTTCCTTCTGGCTGGATTGTCTTGTGGCTTGGGGTTCTTCTAGCCTAGGTTACAGGTGAGTTTGCTTTGGTTTTCTCTCCTTTCCGGGTGACACCCTCTGTGTAAGGGTTTCTGGCGTTTCCATCATTGGCTCCCTGCCCAGTGCTGGGCTTGGGTCCGTCTTGCAGCTGCATGAATTGCCCGTTTCCGGTGACAATGGCCTGGTCCTGGTCTTGCCTCTGTGCTCCGTGTGGACCGCACACACGCTTCTGTTAGCCCGCACAGCTTCAGTGGGCCTCTCCTCAGGTGAGGTGGGGCCTCCCTGTGAATCAGGCCTTGATTCTGTAAACCCTACCCCCCCACCCCCACCCCGGAAAAGCATAAGGTGCTTACAGTCCCCAGTTGAAATGTTGTTAGCAGCCCACGTGTTTTTGCAGCTTTCAGGCTGTTAAATTTTGTCATTCTTGTAATCCTCCAGCATACTTTGTTTAGTCCTGTTGTTTTCTTTCTGATTTAAATGCTTGTAAGTATCTTCTCATTAAAATAAATAACCAAGCCGTTAAGCTGTGAATATGCTGTTTTGTCCAGCTTTATTTCACTCCACAAATATATTAAGTGATAGATACTGTTTCTATCCTTATTCTCTAAATGATGAATATAATTTAACTTTTTCTCAAAATTTTTGTCATTTGCCCATTTCTCTACTTACAAGATTATATATATAAGTAAAAGAATTAGAATTTAAGAGGGAATAAAAACTATAAGGTTTTTTTTTCATCCCTGGAAGACTGACTCTCTCCTTTATAATTCCATCCTGTGATTTGTAAAAGAACTGGAAAATGAAATTCAAATCACTCTCTTGAAAGAAGAATAAATTTACATCCCCATAATGGCCTGCAAGTCCCTTATTATCCTACACGTCTGTGTAATTAGTTTAATTATAACTAAATCACACTTGCATTAATTATATTTTTAACCTTGATTATTTGTAATGTTAATTGCACATTGGTATTCAAGGAATTAAGTAGATGATTAGAAACACAATGGAATTTTTAACCACGTAGAGCTGGGATGCACCTTCCTGCCCATGCCCCTCATAAGTGACTCCTGTTTAATTGAAACGCATTGACTCAGTCATTCATGATACCAAGGTTCACTTTGTACCTTCTCTTAGGTCCTATTATCTGAAATAGTGCTTGTTTCTTGTTTAACTTGCTAATCTCCATTACTATATATCCTCAGACTCTTGAATCCACGTGTGTGTATCTACAGACGTATCTCAAAACCAGCCCTGTCTTTGGTTCCGAGTCTAGCAGGAACGTTGACAGAATGCAGGCCGGAGGTCTCGTGTGTTTTCACTGGCATGCAGAGGGAATTTGGGTTGCGCTGGCTAGAACATAAAGTCCTCGGTTTGCCGCAGTTACTACCCCTCCCTGTTGCCTCCCTCACTGTGCCATGAGATGTTTAGGTTAACTTTGGATCCCACAACCATTGCCATTTACAGCACCTGGACAAAAATGATAATCATAGCCATGTTTACTGTGACTCTCATTCACTAAGCATTAATCTGATCAATAAATACTGGAGCTTTAGAAGGAAGATAATATCCTAATTTTACTGACAAGGAATCTAAGATTCAGAAATACCAAATGGTTTGCCAGAAGTCAGACTTCCAGAAAGTGGTGGAGAATTCAAGTCCACATTTTCCCGCTCTAAGTCATGTGCTCTTCCCATCTCTCTCTCCATTTAGAGAAAACTCTCACAGTAACCACAGTCTGTCTCTCTACATGCACATAAATAAGTAAGCTTTTCTTTTATCATTTTTAAAAGATTTACTTATTTACTTGAAAGTCAGAGTTACACAGCGAGAGGAGAGAGAGAGGGAGAGGGGGAGAGAGAGGGAGAGAGAGAGGGGTCTTCCATCCACTGGCTTACTCCCCAGATGGCCACAATGGCCGGAGCTGCACCAATCCGAAGCCAGGAGCCAGCAGCTTCCTCCAGGTCTCCCACATGGGTGCAGGGACCCAAGGACTTGGGCCATCTTCCACTGCTTTCGCAGGCCACAGCAGAGAGCTGGATAGGAAGTGAAACAGCCGGGATTCCTATCAGTGTCCATATGGGATGCTGGTGCTGCAGACCTGGGCTTTAACCTACTGCGCCAGAGTGCTGGCCCCCGCTTTTATTTTTATTTGAGAGAAATCCCACCCACTGGGATTATTTTCCAAGTGCCCCCAAAAGGTGGGCACTCAGTCCATGTCTTCTGTCACCCGAGTGTTTGAACCACCACCTACTGCTCCCCAAGTGCGCCTTAGCGGGAAGCTGGAATCGGAAGTGGAGCTTCCACATTCTCACAGAAGCCCTGGCACTGATATGGGATGTGGGCATCCCAAGGGGCGTCTCAACCCCTGCTTCAAACGCCTGCCTCAAAAGACCGATTTTCAAGACTTCATTGACAGCAGAGCAGATGTGTGTTTTTGGTAATAAACGTGATTGTGATTATCTTTCCTTAAAATGCTCAGTTCACTAGAAAGAAGTATTTTCATGACACACTTACAATATTACATGAAATTAAGAAATAGGG